TTACAAAAAGGTAGGTGCAAAACACTCAGTGATATTTTGCTAATGTACTCTGTGCATCATGTTGATTTGGAATTTCTGAACACCATATGGAATTCAGAACTGAAATGCAGAAATTGCAATTGATTCATTACTGGAAAGGAAACAAATATTTATCATCATACTGCAGAAGTCTGAATCTACGGGATTTTTTTTGTTCACAGACATATAATATTGTCAAAGACAGATCTAAGTTGCAGTATTTAGTTCAGGAAACTTCTTGGCATGTTACTAGATATTTTTACCAGTTTGTACTTTTCTACCTCTCCCTAGAAGTTTGTAGTCAGATAAAATTAGCTCTTCTAAAACTAATTTTGCTGGTCTGACATTACGTTTTTTTTATAAATGCACATCAAGTAATTCCTAGTTTTAATATATACAATGAGGCACAGCGAACTTGGTGCCATAAGGGTAAACAAATGTGTAGCTATGTTTAAAGTGCTCTTACAGCAGTCAGTGTGCTAGGTTAGATTTTTTTCACCCTGTGGTCTGTCAAAGGATATCTGGATTTCTCTATTGATAGAAACAAGTACAATAATGTGGAACATTAAAGGCAGGTTCATGTAATAAGACAACATTAAATGATTGTCAAACACTTAAGAACTTAATAGAAGCTAATAAGATCAGTATTTAGGTGAGGTCTTTGAAGAAGCTCTTAGAAGGGCTTAAAAGATAGTCTCCAAATCATACACTTATTCTTTCTTACATTAATTCTCAAAGTGATAAAAGGAACTGCTCAAAGTTTCTCTGATGACCTCTTAGCCTTCAGTATTTGCAGATCTTAGAGGCCTTATTATGTAAGTATATGTATTTTCAGTCCAGAAAAAGTGCACAAAATAAGTTAGGTCAGTCCTAGAATTAGTCTGTATCCATGGAATAGTTTTCCAGATTTAGTTTGTTATGGTGAGGTATGAGTGCTTGGCATGAGTTTTGAGGTGTTAATACCAACCTCTGCAATCACATATCCTGTAGCGTTTATTGCCACCTTGTGGGGAAGAAGCTTACAAGCTGATTCTTTGGCAATCAACATATCTTTTTTTCCACTGTTTCCCAGCACAAAAACATTTCTCATGAAAGATGCCAAGCAGATGCTGGACCATGCTTTTGTTTCCCTGATTTGTGATAGGATTTTTTCAGGTTCTAAAATATTCTTGGATAACCCTGTTTTGAAAGTACAGTTTTTAAAAGCTACCTCCAAGAAGACTGTATACCAATGGGAAGGACACAGTTCTGAAACAGAGGAAATCTGAATCTAAGGCATTCTGCTTTGCTGTTTTCCTCCTGTGTAAATTGAATGCTCTACCGTAGCACTGTTGGCTCTTGTGGAGTGTTCTTAGCTGTAGTAGAGCTGTTCCTCAGTTCCTTTCCAGCAGGATGGGTCATACATGTCAGCCCCCAACAGCCTGTTCTGTGAGGTTCATTTTTCTTTGTGTAATTGGCATCAACTCCACCAACACAAGAAAAGCTGTCCCTGAGCAACCACCTAACTCTGGTATTTCTGCAGACTCTTAAAAGCAGAATGTGAAATGGTATTTTCCATGTTCATGGATGAGGGTTGTGATTTCCAGTAATTTGCAATCTGTTGGTTTCTCCCTTTTTTATTTTTTCCCCCTTTTCTCTCTTTCCTGAAACCTTCTTTCACATTTTGACTGAAGAACATGTTTCAAGAACAACTTGAAACTAAGTTCGATCATACTACTAATAGAACATGATAAAAAGTTTGTGACTACCTGTTACACCAGCTTTTTCTTCATTGTAAGTAACATTGCCACCATGCTTAAGGGCAAGAAAAAACACCTGAGGACTTGTGGGATTTAAGGACTCTTGCTCACATTCCTGTTGAAAAATAAACATGTGAAGGTTTTGGGGTTTTAGTTTTGTTCTTTATTTCCAAACCTCAGCATTACTTTTGTACCAATACCAGATGCTTCATTACCAGATGTAGCAGTAGATATTTCCCATAAAAAGACAAGTGCAGATCAGCAAATCAGTCAAGGAAGATCTGAGAAAGTGATTGTTCTTTGGTGCTCCTCAAAAAACTCAGGGAAGTTATTAAAGATACCTTGGATTTGTTGCATCTTGTGATTGGCTCATCATTAAGGAAGGAGAGATTTTCATTTCTGTTAGCACTGTGAAAATCTAAAACCACTCAATCTGTATTAGCAAAAATTGTATACTGGTGTTTAAGTACAAATACACACTATTCAAAGCCTAAAAATAATGGCTACATCTTCAGGTATCACTGGCATAATCCACCACCTTTTCCATTTCTTTCAGACGATGACCCTTGAGGCCCATCGGCGAGTAGTTGTGGAATACATCAGAGCAATCATGCTAAAACGTATATCTTTCAAGAATGCAGAAGAGAGAAAAGAGGGTGCAGAAAGAATGATCAAAGAAGCAGAACAGTTCAGATTTTTGTTTAAGAAGCTTGCAGCTGTAAGTATTTGCTTTGGGTAGTGTTGTTAACCTGGTAATTTACAATAACCATACATGTTTATTGCTTGGGGAAAATGGCTAGAGATAAAACTCCATGTCTCCAAGATGTTGAGTGACTTGGGAATATCAAAGATGCCAGCTGAGGGCACAGACGGAGTTTCTGAACACACAGTCCAGTTGCTAAAATTCCTGAGCACCAGTTTCTTCTGCTTTGTGTTTATACAGCTCTCAGCAGCTGAATATTTGAATGGCCTCAGAAAGGTAGGTAACCTGAATTCATAGTAGTAAGTGAAAGAAAAAAAGCAGTTAAAAAAAAAAATTAAAAAGCTGTCTTTGCTTTTCCTGGACAGAAGAAAGGCTGATCTGGCATCAAACACATGCCATTTCTTATTACCTAAGGAGCATGCAGTGTGTTCATTTGAATCAATAAGACAAGTATGCTGACTCCATTTAAAGTCCAGTAGAAATAGAAAAGACAGGCTAAAAAAGGTATTTGAAAATCAATGAACAAGACAGGCCTAGAAGTTTTAACTGCATAAGGAACAGAATGCTCTTAGACCCAACAGATTACAAAATTCAAAAAAGAATGCACAGAAAGATAAAGCCTGAAAAAATGGGGAAGTTGATGGAAGAGATTGTGGAATAAAGGAAACAAACCATACCTGATTGGCAGAACCAGAGGACCTTGACAAGATGACTTTGATACTAAAATAGTCCAGAGTTTAAATAGACACGGTTCAATCAATCAGCTGCTGAAAGCTGCTTTGGTGGCCAGATGGTTTGAAGGAATCTAATAGAGGGCCACTTTTGAAGAAATGTTTCAGAGGAGATCTGGCTTTCATGTCAGTTATTAGTAATGTTTATGCTTGTAATTACCCAAAGTTGAAGACAAGAATGTATCACCATGTGGATAAATAAAACATATTATTTGTAGGACATTACTTCCTTCACCAATATTCTCAGAGTAGGTCTCTGAATGGAGAATATGGAGAGAAAAGGATTATGGTGACAATTCACAAATATTTTACCTTTTTTAATGTCTGAAAATTCAGCCTTTCGGGAAATTCAAGGGCACTGTCTGACAAGATATTAATTAAAGGATTATTTGTAGATTTGAGGGGTATTGCTGTTGGTTAGGGGCATTTTTCATATTTTTTGTTTCCTTTTGCAGGGCTCTGGAGAGGACACTGAAGGACTCTGTGACATCATTGAAGCCATTGCAGAGGTTATCAAGCTGACTGATCCTTCACTGCTCTATCTGGAAGTTTCAACTTTAGTCAGTAAATACCCAGATATCAGGTATTTCTCTTTGCCCTCAGATTTGATGTATATATATAGATAACATCATAATTTCCTTGGGTTTTGGGAAATTTTGAAATTTAAAACGGTGTGAAAATCTGTTGATATTTTTCATATTTTAGAATGTAATCACTTTCTTGTAGAAAATAATGTTAATGAACAATGTGTGTGAGCTGGACTGGGGGTAACAACTACTTTAAGTACTGCAGAAGAGTAATTAAAATACTTCAGTTCTGTGTGTTGGGAGGATAAAATAGGTTTTAGAGTCCTAAAAGCAGCCAAAACAGTGCTTTATATTGAGGAGGAAAAACCGGTTCTGAGTGAGTAGAGAGATCTGACCTGCTGAAACTGAGTGAAAGGATTGCCAATTAAATGCTGGTTTTGACAAAATCTTACTTGTGCAAAGCCTCCTAATGCCAGTTTTACCCTTTTCCTTTGGCAGGGATGACCACATTGCAGCTTTGCTGACAGTGAGAGGCGATGCCAGCAGAGATATGAAGCAGACTATCATTGAAACTTTGGATCAAGGTCCAAGCCAACCGAATCCAAACTATGTGCCAATTTTTAAAGAAATTACAGTTCCTACTCTCACTGTGCCAAAACTTCTTAAATAATTGACAACTCTGTGTCTGTGTGTCATTACTGCTCTGGGATCAACAGGTTTGAAATATTTGTGGGCAAATTTGGCAGTGCTATTTTGAGTGAAGTTCAATATACATTGACACTTGCTAGGCATATTTCTTTCTAAAGACTTGGACATGAGGAAGTGCAAGATTTCTGAAAGAAGAAGGATCAAAGGTCATGTTTGAAGAACGAAGCTTTTAATGGCATGGGGTTTTTTTTACTGACCTGTTTGTCACAGCTGGTTTTGCTGTCAGGAAATACATTTTTCTTGTGGAATATGTTTGCACAGTGCACTGCAATGCTATATAAAGATATTTATTCCAAAACATGCAGAGCTGTATTTAGTGCTGGATATACTAACATGCATCACTTACAATACCTAAGCAGACAGCTTTAGAACTGTCTTTATATGGCACTGCATTCAGTGTTAATGTCAATCCACTTTCACATTATATTTTGTGTATGTACTTACTTTGGTGTAAAATAGTTTATTGCAGAAAAGTTAATTATGAAATCAGTTTCCTGACTTAAAGGACTGAATGAAATTGCTACAGTGCAATTTGATTATAGGTTGAATAAATAAATAAAGACATAAGGTACCATTTTTTTTTTCACTGATTCACTAAAAACAGCACATAAAGCACACCAGTTCAATAAAATGTTAAACCATTGCTATATTCAGCTATGATTCTTTGCATCTTTGTAGATTTACAGAGCATGTAAATCTTTTTTGTTGTTGTTTTAAGTGTGAATAAAAACTGGATTTAATAGTTTTCTGAGAACACAAGATACTGGGTTTTATTTCCACAGTATTTTCAGATTAATTATAAAATAACTCCTAGACAATTATGGATTCAAAATGCCTTGATGAAGGATATAATTTAAGGCATTATCTCTTAGTATCTGACCAGAGCTGTCAGAGGTACAAAGAAGACATGAGCCTACATTGTTTTAATTTTAACATTCTGGAGTTTGTGTACATAATGCCTGTGGCCACCCAGGCCTTGTGCCATTCCAGCCGTGTCCCCAGCTCCTCTGTACCCCAGAAGTGGTATGTACAGGGTCAGCAGTTTGGATAAAGCATAGATCTGAGACTTTCTGCAGTGACAGGGACAGTGCATCCCGAGATGGTTCAGTAGAGCATTATCTTGCTGTCTCTGTGCTTCAAGGATTTTAGCACAGGAGGTCCTTGGGTCCCATGGAACCGTAAACTCTGCCTAAAACCTGTGGGTACAGGGAGGGAAAATTGTTTTTCAGAGGACTGTGTTAAACCCTCAGTAAAGAATTCAGTTAAAGATTAATGAGGTGATACTAATTTGTTTTGTACTCTAATTCCATCCCGTCCCTAAATTTCTTTCCCTGTGTTTTTTATTCCTCACTTTGTGTAAGGTAATCCATTCAGAGGGCTTTTGTTTCCCTTTGTATATCCCTTCTTCCTCTCAGCTGTGGTGCAGAGGCATCTCTTGGATGTTAAACTTAGGCTCTTTCCCCTCCGGCACACGCCAGCTCCCGAGTGGATCGGCAGGTATCGGTCACGGGAACGGCTCCTGCCCTTGCCGGAACCTTCGTGTCGGAGGTTG